ATAGGGTGTAGGTCAACTCATGATCATCTCAATTCAAACATGAGAGTTTCTGCTAGTCATGCATCGACCTGAGGGTTCCTCATGCGTCGACACATACTGAACATTCAATTTTTGAAATTTTAATTTGCACGCATCGACGCATTACGTGCTGGAGGTCGACGCATCGCTCGTGTGTTTGGAAATTTTTTTAAAACTGAAACGTTTCATATTTGTTTTGGAAATTTCACCTAATCATTTGTGTGTCTCCATATTTTTATTATTATCACTTGCATCTCTCACAACACTCACAACTCTCTCAACTCTCCGAAAACCATAAAAACCCTTTTCAAGAACACTCTAAGATTAGGGATTCAAACCCAAATTAGTGAAGAATTTGGTATTTCTACACTCTCATCTACTGCGAGTATTGTTCATCTTTTTCAACAAAGGAGTTTTAATTGCTACTTCAACAGTGACTGGTAAGAGGTTAAGCAGAGCATCCACTTCTCGAGCAACCACTTCACAAACTTTGTCTCAAACTCCGATAAACACTATGTCACTTCTCTCTGATGAACTTGCTGAGGTATTTGAAGCAGATTTTAAGAAAAGGTCTATTATTAAGTAGTTTGTCTATTATTCTAAGGTAGCAGATAAAATGCATATTCCTGAAATTGTTGTCATGCTAAATCATTAAAAAAAAATCTTGGAATGTGGTACTAAATACAATGAGGATTTAGTTAGACTATTTTATGTGGGTTTGAAAGAAAAATTCACTAGTTATGAATTTGCCTACAAGATAGGGGGTAGATGTTACAAGGCTGGTATCGAAGCATGGCGAGACTTATTTCATATGTGTCCTTGCCTATCTCATAATATGCAAATCACTGATACTGACTTGGCTCTGGGGTATGAATTTAAGTCTGCTTTGAATTCCATGCTTAAGGAACCGTGTCTTGAGGAAGTAGTGGCAAGTGATTTATTTCCAAAGTTTGTCACAACTAGACTATTGAAACGGGAGGATAGAATCCTGCAGTGGATTGTCTCTCATATTATTTGCCCAAAGAAAGGAGGTTATTCTATAGTTGATCAAGCTGAATTGCACTTGGTTTATCTGCTCAAGAATAAGAAGAAGGTAAACTGGCCATATTATATTGCTAATCGTATTTTTGCATTGAAGAAATCCGGCAGAGATTCATCCTTATGCTACAGATCATTTATCCAAAACATATTGGATCATGTTGGAATTGCGATTCAGGACATTCCTTACACTTCCATTTCTGGTGAACAAGAGTTTAGTCAGAAAACTATAACTTTTATAGGGTGCCTTTGGGACAGACAAGAGAAGTCTTATGTGATTAAGTCCAAGGGTTTGTATGGACGAATTCAAAATTTAGATGAAGCTGAGGAGGAAGAACAAGTTGAAGATGAGGAAACTCATCCTATGGGTACTGAGATTCCTTTTGACGGTCCTGACGATAATGCTTGGTTGGGTGGCTCCTCAATGCAGGATCCTTATGCTGACCAAGAATGGGGATCTTGGCAATAAAATGCTTGGACTAACCAAGGCACCTCTTATATGCCTCCTTCTCCACCTCAACATCAAATTGACAATTATAAAGTTCTTGAAATGCTATGAAACATGCAACTTGAGCAACAAAATTTTGCAGCACTTCAGGAACAACAGTTTGAATCAATCCAAGGAAGATCACAAAGTTCATGTTTTTCAAGACGGAAGTGCATACAGTCAGGGGGAGATTGCTCTTCACAAAGTACTCAATGTGTGAGAAGTTTTTACGAGGTTTTGCCATCATAAAAAAGAGGGAGTGTGTGAGGGCAATGTTCTTTTAATACTTTGTTTTAATGATGTCAAAACTAGGAAATTTTGTACTTGTGTATTTTGGGCAGTATCTCCTTGTATAAGCATTGCATTCATCATTTTTCAAACACGTATAATGATCCACATACATGAACCTAGGCATCTAGAATCATTCTTCATGTGTAAAATGGGTTTTATGTCATTTTGATGCATTAGGTCAACATATACTGGGTATAAGTCGACTCAAAATTAACAAAAATGATGTTTGTAAGATTTTGGCATGCTTGCGTCGACACACATCTACTGTGTAGGTCAACACATATTAAATAAATCAAACTTGTCACTCTTGGGTCCTCATTCGTCGACGCACGGTTAGGCTGTAGATCGACATACAATCTTATGTCGTGCATTGATTTGCTTTTTAACTTGTTCAGGTCGACTCATTGTTGGTGTAGCTCGACCTCTCGCGTGTTGTAAATCATTTTTCTGCATCTTTGTGATTCCAAAGTCAGTTTTTTCTGTTATTCTTTCATGCTCATATATATTCTCATATGCATCATTTACAAAAGGGACAATAAAATTTAAAGATACATTGGTTTGCTCTTCATTTTCATTCTCACACTTGCATTCTTCAATAATTAGACATAATCATCTTTGTTGAGTTGTGCTTTGTCGAGGTGATAACGTCCAAACTTAGGAATTGTAAATCTAGTTTGGGTTGAGATTCCCTGGAATTTTCTTGAATAAAACCATTGGGATTTTGTCCTCTTGATCTTGAGGGATTTGGGTTTTTTTTGCACAAATCTTAGCATCACAAATTCAGCTGAGTGAAAGGCTTGAAGAACGGTAGGTTCGGTCAAGCAAGTAACGGTAACCGGGGGATTGCATTGAAATATTTGGTGTCAAACAGCTTGCAATCGAAATCAGCCGAGCGAAAGACTTGAAGAACGAAAGGTTTTGTCAATTAAGTAGCGGTAACCAGAGGTTTGTTCGAAGCGTTTGATGCACTTGATTCGGCTGGAATCAAGGGGAGAGAAATGGATATAATCAACACCAACAATTAGATTTGATTGTGTGGTAGCTAGAACTTCTATTGTAATTGAATTTTGCAACAGATATTATACATATCTCAATTCTAGTTTTAGAATTGGGGGCAGACGTACTCGAAGCGAGGACGAAAGAGGAACTACCTGAACAAATCGGGTGTTGTTCTCTCTCTCTCTATCTCTATCTCTTTACTTTAAATTGTTGAAGTTGTGTTTGATCAATTGTCTGAAATATTTTGATTGATTTGTAGTGTTAAAAATTGTTGTGAAAAACCATTGCAATCACTTTGATTCCAAGTTGTGAAAAATTCTGCACTACAAATCAAAGGAAATTGTCTTGGAGTATTTTGCACGCCAAATGTTTGATAAATTGATTACACACTAATTGTTCGACATATTATCTATTCAATTTTATTCACTATTAATCATTGGAAATTGGTTAACATTAAGTGGTTTTCATTTGAATAATTGATTGTGAAAATTATTGATTCATTTATCTCATTAATTTTATTCCATTCGGTTTCGCATATTCGATCTTACCAATAACAATTCATTTAGACAATTTTGATCCAAGGCCGCTTTCACACAATTTTTTAAAACAAATTTTTAACGCACAAAGTTTTAAAAATTAGTGATATATTCAACCCCCCTTCTAGATTCGTGATCGTCTAAAGTCTTGAATCCACACCACACATAATGAACAAATGTAATGACCAAGCCACCAATGTGATATCTTCAATCCCCGATTAAATCCAATACCAAAATGCCAATCATATGATCCATAAATACCAAAGATCAAGAATTAGGGTTTCATGACTTTGAATTGTCATGACTAGTCAACGTATCATGGTATACCCTAGATTTGGATTTCAAGGAAACCCTAGCTCCTTGTTGATCATAAACATCAAAACTCTTTGAATCCATGTTGTTTAATGCAAATGGTAAAATGAATGTATTGTGATGCTAATGCATATGTAGATGAATCACAAACCAAAAGTCAGATGAAAATGAAAAGGGGAAGACAAATTTTGGGGTATGACAGACTGTTGCGCGAAGTTTTATCTCGTATGTTGCTATCTCCCAGAGTGTCATACTGTAACTTTTCTTAATTCTCAGGATCCTGTATGCCATGAATTGAGAGTTTTATTAGTGTACGAAGTTGTACACGATGTTAAATAGGTCAATGACTGCATACATGCTTAAGTTGACTTGTATCAGTTGGAGTTGGAAAACATCTCTTATCCAGGCATCATAGGTTGCAAAAGAGGTCGATTTGAAGGTTCACAAGACGGAGACAAAGGTTGACAAGTTGGAAAAGCTTGTAATGCTACTTAGTTGACTCTTCAAATATCCAAATCATGCGACGTTGGAACGAAGGGTAAAGTTACTAAGACTGGATCACTCATCTTCGGTGGAAGAGGATGAGTTCTACTAGTTTCAACATTGACTTTGACAGATCGAGTGATTTTCAAATTTACCATAGTTTAAAGAAATTGGTATCAAGTTATTCAAAAAAATATCAATATTCGCGTGGAAAGAATGAGATCTACTACACACGCTCTTTCGTTTTATAGATTTTATTTGGAAAAAATACGAAGTGATACATATCCAAATATTAAAATAATATATATCATAAAGGTAAGGACAATGGCAAAGAACAACAAGAACAAGTTAGTTAGCACTAAGTAGTATCTTGAATATGTTTCAAAACTATCTTTAAATTGAGTTAAATCTAATTCAATCTCATGAAATACTTATAAACTCTAATTGGACTTTCTCTCTTTTAGAAGTGACAAATGTATTTTTTTCTAATGTTTCGTTTTGCAAATGTTTATGAGTTGTAGGTGTCGCATCATGCCAACTGTCAAACTCAAAACTGTATCAATTATCCACACGCTCACCTCATAAGGCTCCTCCACTAGCTTTGTTTTCCACACTCATTCATGTACTTTATAAAGCAAAATAGTAAAACATTAGTACATTTATTTACAGCAATAGTACACACCATTTCTACAACCATAACATTAACAACTAAACTTTTTCTATCTTCTTCTCTACATAGTTTGCACTCACTCACTCTAAAGACATAAATAGTGAGTAGATGCAACTCACCCATCTCCACATCTACTCATGTTTTAAGGCTATCCTCAGAAACCAAAATGAAAAAATCCATATTTTTTTCTTTGATTCTAGCTTTGTTTACAAATCTAAACCCACCCCATTTTGCAGAATCTTCATCAGATTACACTACATTGATCTACAAAGGTTGTTCAAAAGAAACTTTCACAGATCCAAATGGATTATACTCCCAAACACTTTCCACACTCTTTGGTTCACTAGTTTCACAATCCACCAAAACAAAATTCTATAAAACCACTTCTGGCAGTGGCCAAAACAGCATAACAGGTTTGTTTCAATGTAGAGGAGATCTCACCAATTCCGATTGCTACAGCTGTGTAAACAAGCTTCCAATTTTGTCCAACAAACTATGTGGCAGAACCATAGCTGCAAGAGTTCAACTACTAGGTTGTTATCTACTCTATGAAGTTGTTGGTTATGTTCAAATATCAGGTATGCAGATGCTGTACAAGACTTGTGGTGCAACGAATGTTGCTGGAAGTGGTTTTGGAGAGAGAAGAGACACTGCTTTTTCTGTAATGGAAAATGGTGTGGCTAGTGGTCATGGTTTTTATACTACTAGCTATATGGCTTTTTATGTTTTGGGACAATGTGAAGGTGATGTTGGTGACTCTGATTGTGGACAGTGTATGAAAAATGCTGTTCAGAAAGCTCAAGTTGAATGTGGTTCATCAATTTCAGGACAAGTCTTTTTGCATAAGTGTTTTATTAGTTTTAGCTATTACCCTAATGGAGTTCCATCTAGATCATCTCAATCTTCATACTCCTCACTTTCCTCAGGTAATAACTAATGTCTAACACGCCTAGAAGATACGTAGCATCGGCACTTCTGATTAAAATTGTAGTGTGTCTGATGTCTGATACTGAAACTGACACGTGTCTTTGTCTGTGTCTGTATGTGAGTGATTCCATATGTATTGATTATTGATTTGATGCAATGACAGGGCAAAATCCAGGGAAAACAGCTGCTATAATACTAGGAGGAATTGCAGGAGTGGCTTTTCTAGTTATATTTTTGTTATTTGCTAGAAGTTTGAGAAAGAAACACAGTGGTATGAGTTATTTGCTGCAATAATTGTTTATTTATGAGGTTCTGAGTTTATGTTTTATTCTTTCATGTTTTCAGTCTTATTTACTTATTTTAAAATTTCATTGTATCCTGCACAGATTATTGACAGAAGAAGCAGAAAGTGACTTCTGAGAAGCCAAAGTTATCTTCTGATGAGTTTTTTTCTTACATTTTTATGGTGAATAGAGCTTGATTGATTTAGGACAGAAATAATATCAGGTGCTTCAAAGTAATGATTGTTGTACTAAATGTTTAGAAGGGTTAATATTATTTGTCATCATTAGTGAACGAAAATTTTGGGCCATATCATATTTGTTGTTGAGCCATGTGGTTGATTATCTTCTGCATTCTTCTCCCTAGTTTTATGACTTTCTCTACCCTCAAATACAAGGAAGTTTGGGTTTTTTCTTCATCTTCTTTTTTATTGATAATAATTGGAGTAACAGATTCAAATATCTTAAACAAATGGTTAGAGATTCAAAATCTTGTTGTCTATGTGATGCCTTATATTAAGGGTAGTGACAAACGTCACACCAGAAATAACTATGAAAAAGATTGAATTTTTTGAACAAACACAAGAAATTCTTTTTAAATTTTCGAAAGAGAGAGAAAAGGAAAGAAGAAGAACAAAAATGGTTTTAAGTTTTAAGGTTTGTTTATGTGTGAGAAAATCGTATAAAAAGTTGAAAATTTTAACAATAAAATGTTAAAGATGAGACTAATTTTGAACTTCCTCTTGTATTATTTATTTGACCTTATCAATTAAAATTAAATATCTTATTGTGTGTTGTTATTCATTCAAAAGATTGTTTAATCATAATCTCTTAGCAATCAAACTTTTATCACCGTAGACAAATTCTCAATCTCTTAGCAAGTTACAATAAATGACACACATTATTAATAGCAAAAGTATAAGAGTTTCGTTGTTCCGTCTTTATTCCTAAGTTGCGGGAAACTAGAATATCTAATTCAAAGCGTTTAAATATTTCACTTTGTTTCACAAGGTAAACCATAAATCATTTTAAATTATTGGCCAAATAATAAAATTCCTTAAGCATGAATATTATATAAACAACATAATAATAGTTATTCAACCAACAAATATCAGTAAGAATGCAATGTTATTCTTAAAATCAGTTACTCATCTCCAACAAATGGGGTTTAACCACTCATCAACAAGTTACGACCATTGCATCCATTGAATATCAATTGCAGATTTTGCAGCAGCAACCATACCGAAAGCAGTATGTTCCACAGCAGCATTGTTGACACGCCTAACAAAGGCCAAGAAAGCGAGAAATATGTATTGATGTGCTTCCAATTCCATATAGTCAAGTACCGCCATATTTGATCAAATATGGACTATTGGTGCCAAAGGAAATGAGTCTAGTACTTCCTTCATACCCACCTCTGATTCGAATGGACTAACATACTTTTCAAAATTTTGTTTTTCTTTTATTCCACATCATTTGCTCAAATGATTCTAATTATAGGTTGCTCTTAATTCGAATCTAACTTACTTTTTCAACCATTTTATGTGCTTAATCTCAAACATATTATGCACATATAAAACTTTTTTGTCATATTTATCACATAACATCTATCATTCTGATCATAATTTTCAGTGTGATTTTAGTGAAAAACTAATTTCTTATGCTTTGAGTTTTCAAAGTCTTGCAACGAAATTATTGAATATTCAACTTCAATTTGGTTCAGATCTTAATAATGAGAGATTTATAATTGACTGTAGGAGGCACATCCTTGAAAATAACCGTTCTTGGAGATTGTAATACCACAAATTTTACCCTTAGATTAGGCAGTTCATTTTGCATTCCATCTCATGCTGCATTGCATTTCATCCCGCCGCTAACCAGTTTGCTCAGTCTGTTGGTTTTGCAGAAAAAAATCACGTTGTGCGCTCTTTAACTTATGAATGACAAAATGGTCATTAATTTGCAACCTATTTACAACTTATGAAGCTGAGTCGTCTTATTTGAGGGTTGAATTTTACGGCAATCTTGACGCCAAGTTTCTCGTGACACAACACAAGAACTGAGATTCAGTCGTCAGTTGGATTTCAGAAATGTTGTTTGATTCCTAAAACCATCTGGAGCTGAATGTGTTGAGATATCAGTGGGTTCAGGTTAAATCGGTGCGAGGGTTTGCTTTGTGGAATTTACTTTAACAGATGCACGTTTTCCTACTTTCTGCTACATACTGTTGAAGCGGTAAAGCAGCAAGCAAAAAATATTAAGTACCCAGTTTTGTCGTCTCCACAGGGATTAGTGCGATATGAACGCCGTTCAACGATTTCTACATTTCTAAGCTTATTGTTCAAAAAATTTGGTTTAAAAGGTTCAAGGAACCATAAATAAAAACAAGAAATATAAAATAAAGACGGAAATATAAACGGAACCTTGTTGGAATTGGATTTCATCAATTGATAACACATGCATTCTTCTGATCAAATTAAACACAACGCAATCATTCGTCTAATATCCTTACGTATCACTCACGACAGAGCTTATCTCTAACGCGGCGTCGAGAGAAAAACCATGTTGTCTCATTGGTGATCTCTCACCCAACAAAAACACAACACAGGGCATTAAGATCTGATACTCAAGAAAATGCTAAGCCTAAAACTATCTCTAGCATTTAGGGCCTAACAGGCAATCATCCTAGATCCATATCTGAAGAGTATATCTCTATCACAATTCAAATCAAAGATTAACAGGTAAACAAGAATGAAACCCATATCAGATAAACAGTTGTTTTGCATAAAACACAATGATCAAAATACGTACACACGCTTAACCCTTTTTACATGTATTCATCTAATCCACCAAATGTCAGTGAACATCGTTCTTTATCACTATTATCACATACCCACATACTATCATGTTGGTCCTACCCATGCTAGCCATGCTACTTAATCAACACAACACCATAGAAGATAAAATGAATATCAACTTCAAAACCATGTCAAAAGTTTGTTCATTGATAGAAGAAAATCTGAGATCAAAGATGTGAAAAGGTTTTGTCAAGACCCACAAATACATAATCAAAGATATTCAATCAATAGAGAATCCAAAATAGTTCACAAACATAAATTAGATGAAATACATAAGGTATCAAAAGATTACAATCCAAACCCCAACAAGAGATCGAAGATCTTACCTCCTCCCCCTTGGGGTTTTGTGTTTCTCTCTCTAAAGAAATGAAGAGAGATAAGTTCTAATGTTCCAAAATGTTACAAAATGAAGTTCTCCCCTAAAAAAGCAAGAAAAACACTTAAATACACACTCAGGATCTGTTACGTTCGCCTAGCGAACGACTAACTTTTGGTACTTTCAGATCTGCCCAATTCTGGGCTCGTTCGCTACCTGCTCGCTGTAGCGAGCAAGCTAGCGAGCGTTCGCTACCTGCTCGCTGTAGCGAGCGTGACAACATTTTGCTACTGTAAGTGTTCGCTGGAGACTCGCTGCGCCTCCGCCTAGCGAATGCTCGCTACTCCCTCGCTGCATTTTCGCCTAGCGAGCTTGCTGTTTGTTTGCTTGCTTTCTTGGTTCCTTTACCCATTTCTTGTGTCTTACTTTTCAATTGTTTTGTGCCTAATTCCTTCACAATAGCACACAAATCAAAGGTACCAAGAGATTTTCACACTATATTGCAAACCAAACAAAACAAGAGTGGTTTTCAACACTTTCTTGACGAAATTGAGTGAAAGATGCCAACTTTTGATAGATCAAATAAGTGAAATTTGACATCTAACACATACCAATCAAATTTTAAAGAAAATAGTGGAACTTTGGTGCGCATGAAATTAAGAGTGAACATCTTTTGGTTTTGTCATGATTGTTAGCCGAGCTGGTTCAGGTTACCGAGTTACATCGTCCGAAAGACAATCTGAATTTTTTTCAATGAAGAGGACAGTTTGTTTTTCCGTTTAACCGGATTTCTCTGCTTATCCGTTCAAGGTCATATTCATTGACTTTAATATCGAATATGAATTAATTCGCAAAGGGATTTATTTGAACTCAACGAATGCTTCGGATTTAAATCGTGCAAAATGATTAGTCGAATTCGGAGTTGGAGCATCGCAGATTAATCGGATAAATTTCATTGGATGAATGTAATTGAATAAATTTAGTTGAAAGAGTTTAATTGGATGAAGTTAGTCGTTTGAATTCAATCAGATGACTTTTAATTGAATGAGTTTGATCAGATGACTTTTAATCGAATGAGTTTGATAAGATGACCTAGTCAGAGAAATTTAATCGGATGGATTTAGGCGGATAAATTTAATTAAAGAAATTTATTCGATTGAGTTTAATCGGGGAAATTATTTGGAGATTTTTAATTGGAAAAATTTGATCGGAAAAATAAAGAATTGAATTTATTTGAATTCTATTGTTTATTACAATTACAAAAGAAAATTAGAATTTACAACTTTGTTCCTAAATTCTAAAAAAGTCTTAATTTCCTAAATGTGTCGTCGCGCCGATCTACAATCTTCGATTTCTCGAACCTGCAAAGAAAAATCAACAGCAGAGCAAACAATTTTTAAATGGTAAGTAAAAAATGGTTTTTAACGGCTCTGATACCCTTAGTAAAAGCTCATCATCGGGTACGTCTAGAGGGCAACAACGACGAGGTCGTCGCCAGCTCCCGACTTATTTTTCCGACCTCGGCGCAAATCCAACAGACATCTGTTCTAAGCCATTCAGAGAGAGAGAGAGAGAGAGAGAGAGAGAGGTGATTTTGTTTGAAAAGGTGATTTTTGGAAAAAAGTGATTCTAAAAAAATGATTTTGGAAAAAGCACTTATTCTGAAAAAATGGGCTTTGCCAAACAAGCCATAAACGTAATTTCCCAAAAGTTCTGAACCACCAACGAATCAAACCACCATCCTGGAAAAAAAAGCGAGTTCAACAACAACATTCCAAATTTCCATCCAACAACGTTTCCAAAAGCAACAACTAAATGAAAATAGTTCCTCCAAAAATGCAAGAACATTCCAACAACAATGAATCAACCAAGCCATAACAAATCACAACAAATGAACCATGAAAATTCGCAACACAACAACCACCTTTCCTGAGAAAAA